AAAAAGGGAGGGAGGGGGGGGGGGGTGGGGGGGGGGGGGGGGGATTGGCCAGAATCGTCCGCTAGAGTGGACAAAATGGAGAATGAGAAGCATACATGTTCGAGTAGCCTGTGTAGTCGCGGGAATCTTTCACCGGCTAGGCGCAGCTGCACAAATCGTTCGTCGAGGACCAGGCAAAACAATCTCGGACTATCCAAACATCGTCAACTTTTCTTCGTTTCCGAGACGCCTCGCCTTGTTTCATCCCTCACATAAATTTCACCCCTTTGCGCTTCGAATCTTTATAGACCGCCGGGAACACTTTAGAGCCGCTGATATCGGTGGAGGCTGAAATGTTTGTCTTGGCACGGATACCGGTTAGAATATTATAGTCCGGGCAAGCGTCAGCTAATCCTACATCGTGCTCGAATCGTCTCCATCGGAGATACCGAAAATCTTTTTCGTAATAAAACGTCCTCGAATCAAAATTAAAGACACCTATTCCTCCTTTCGAGATAATATTTAAAAATCTAAAAGTTACGCGTCGATCGGCAAATACGATACAATCTGCAGTCGCATTCGAGTGTGAGTCACTAAATGGCGCTCACAACCGCCATACTTGCATAAAGTCGTGCTTTTTAGAACAGAAGAGAATGTTTGATCTTCTGAACACGATATTATATTTCTTATCCGAGCGAACAATTTTTACATTTTGACGACGATGGAAATTTAAAATGGAATTGGTAGATGCGTGTCCCTTTTTCTGTCACGGTTCAATTACTTTAGCTATAGTAACAATACATTCTGCCAAATGCTAAAATACATTCTGCCACAAAAATGATTCTGCTCGCTGGAATCTCGCACGAACATCTTTCTACTAGACTCGAGCAAGTACCGAAATGGTCAAAGGATATCCGATCCACCCCCAAAATCCCGTAACTCTCGCAGTGTTCGGCGCGATTCGAATTTGTCGCTGGAAATTCGATTACCTGGCGTTCACCGTTCCGGTCTCGCCAAAGCGACGTCGGGCTACTTATTCAGGCATTTTGGCGATCGGCCGGAAACGGCAAGTTAGAAATTCGCTTGCTAGTCCGGGACTGCGTGTGTCGGGGTCTATATCGCGGAGGCGGACATAATGGTTCACATGTGGGTAAACACAGTGACGGGTTGCGGGTTGCCGCGCGAAGAGATTAATGGCCTTCGGTTTGGTCCCCCGGTGGACCGGCCCGGTTCATGGGTATTGGTACGTGGCCTCTCGCGTCCACACGCTCCGGCACGACGCTTTCACCATGGGGTGTGTGTGCGAGAGCAGACGCCGAGAGCGAGTGTGCGCTCTCTTGCTCTCTTTCTCTCTCGCTCGCTCTCTCTCTCCCTCTCTCTCCCTCTCTCTTGCTCGCTCTCCTTCCTCTCCCTAAGCGTGTCTCTCTGTGGGCGAGAGAGGCAGAGGGTGCGCCCGGGCTGAGTAGCCATCCGTAGGACCATATACACTCCGTGCCACGGGCTCCATATATATACAAATATATGTATACATGCGCGTGTATGTATACATACGCGGATGTATATAGATACACGGCAGAGAGAGAGCCGGTGGTTCGAGGTACGGTGATGTATCGGCGCCCGCGGCGAGACGAATGGTACGGACCCTCCTATGGCCACCATTACCCCACCGCACATTGGCCAATATCGTTCCTCTCCGTCGCTCCTCTTCCCTCGTCCAACCGTCCCACTCGTTCTTTCGCCTCTGTCATTCCCGCTCGCCACCCTAGCCAGGGCCCCTTCGATTCGGGACATTTAGGTGTTGCGACCAGGCTGCGTGACGCGTCCCGCGATGCTCGGCCTCCTCCTACTCGTAATTTTAAAGGACTGCCTCGGAAGTAAGCCCTCCGCGAAATACCGGCGACCCGCGCCAGACCGATTTGTTTTCTATTCCGCCGTCGCCGGTGTTCCCCGGACACGCGTGATTTGTGGCCGAGTATGAATATCTGGGCTGGTGGTCCTTGCTTTCGACCGCGGGACTGACTCGGCTACATTGCCATTTTTGCGATTCTGGGCTCCGGGACGTCGAGCTTCGTAGGGGATGGTGGGCAGATTTGGGTGGCTTCGGCGAACTCGATTCTGTTGGGTATTTATTTATCCCGTCTGGAATTGCTTGCTATAATTGCATCGTGCGTTGAAACGATTATAATATTTCTCAGCTGTTCTCAATAGACTGGTAAAGTCGTTTATGTTGTAGCAGGTGTAGCATCGATCTTTGGACCTTGAAATCTTTTGTAGACTGTGCTATTCGCGTTCGATGTCTTCGAATGTGTTACAGTAAATTCTCTCTAATTGTTCAAGTTCAGATGGTACACAAAAATGGACAATTCGAGCGTCGATTAGGGAGAATTTACTGTATATTGAACATACGTTAACCTTCGGAAATGAAAAACCCAATGAATCTAGGCAACGCGGTACAGGGATTGAAGCGTAAAGAAAATCTGGTCGAGGGTTCCGATCAAGCACGTTTATTTATCAACTGGCTATTTCGTGTTTATCTCGCTCCATTCAAGATTCGGAGTCATTCATCACCGAGAATAATACCTCGGACAACAGCACTCGTAATATAGCAGCAGGTTTTGCGAGGGGGGTTTGCGAAATTCAAGAGGTTCCTTAACCCTCATGAATTTCCATGTTGCCCGGTTCGGCTGGCCTTCGCTTCGGACCTCGCTTCCAGTCACTTCAGACGATCACGAGTGCGGGAGGGTTGCCACAGTAAGATACACTCTGCCATTCGGTTTTTTTTTCGCGGCTTCTAGCGACCCTGAATACAAACAAGATCTTCCAATTTCTATCGCTGACGAATTCGGAAATTCCGGAATTTAATCCCTCGCAATTCGCGTCGTTAGCGGAGATACAGAGCAGCGCGAAGATTATGAGATTAACGTCTGATAAAAGGGGGTCAAAAGTTAAAGAGCCACTTGTGGACTCGACGGTGGTATCTATTTAGTTGGCCCATAAGGTTCCCTTTATAGGGGGGTCGCGCGCACCCTAAACCTAAACTCTCTGTTTCCCTGCGGCTCTCTCTCTCTCTCTTTCCCGGCGCTCGTCCATCCTGTTCGTACCCTCTCGTTCCGTCTCTCTTTCACTCTTTGACGGCGGGGGTTAGCTGCCCCTTCTAGCTTGGGAATTATCGCTTGACGACCCATCAAGTAAACCCTCTGCCGACTCATTCGAACCTCTTAATGAAATTCTCACCCCTGACTGACTGGCTGGCTCGACTGGATGGCTGGCTGGCTAGCTGGCAGACGCTCGGGACGATCCTAGAGTGCCCCGAGAGGCTCGGCCGGCGGAGAGACGGAGCGCGAGAGAGTCGAGGCTGGAAACACGGGACAGGGACAGAGGATACAGAGCTTCCCTATTCTACCCCGGCCGGCGGCTCTCTGCCTCGAGGGGAAGCTAAAATCTCTCGCGCCTCAAAGTGGTCGAAGGCTCCGCTCCCTTTTTTTCACAGCATCCCTTACAGCTTAACCGAGCGAGGGAGGAAGGAGTCGCAGCTTCCTACCGATCCCTCGCCGGCTCCGATACAGTGACTCTCGCGTGGATCTCTCGCTTTCACACCAGGGATTATAAACCATTAATTCTGACATCGCCGAGGGGGCGCGAGACCCCGTGAAATACGGCTCGCCCCCCCCTGGCCGTGCTGAATTTTCTATTTAGTTCCGCGGAAAACGACTGCCCTATTCGCCGCGCTTTTAAGTGGATCCGCCGCGGTCCACGAGCCATCGAGCCGTCCCAATCGGCCAGCCCGTCAATTTACTAAATTAGCGGTGAACGGTGTGTTTGCAGAGCCGATGAGGCACGTGAAGGCGGAGCACTTGCAGCACGAGAAGGACCTGGACGACGAGGACGACCTGGACCTGGAGGAGGACCCGCGGCGGAGCGAGCATCCCTTTCATCACGCGATGCAGCACCACCACCACCATCACCAAGGCTACGCCGGCGAGGACCACCTCAAGGACGAGGGCATAAAGTCCGACTGCAGCGCGGCCGGGGTACCGATCCCGGCCACCAAGCCGAAGATCTGGTCCCTGGCGGACACGGCCGCCTGCAAAACGCCGCCGCCACCCTCCCACCCCCATCATCAACAGTACCACCACCTGCACCATCAACAGCACTACGGCCAGCAGCAACATCACCTGCCGAACCAAGGCCACCACCATCATTCCCAGCAACCTTGGCTCGGCTCCGCAGGCGGCGGCGGTAACACCGGCGCCGGGGGCGGCGGAGGGAACCTGAGCTCGTTCGCTTTACCATCGTCCGCCTCCATGAGCCCCTCGGCGGCGGCAACCGCCCCCTATTCGAGCGCTGCAACGAGGTACGGCGGGTTCTTGTCGTCCTCGTCCGGCGGGCAGCTGCATTACAACCCGAATTCCTCGTCCGGATCGAGCTCGAGCGCGTCCTCCTCGGCGGCGGCGGGGTTTCCCGAGGTTGGTACGGACACTCCACCCCAGACACCGCCCAACATGAAGGTGGCTACACCGAATGGAGTGATCCAGGCGCCGCCGGCCGGATACTGTACCACTGGCAACGGCAACACCACGACCAACGGTAATCCCAACCCGTACGCGGCTAGCCACCCGGCCACCGGGTACCTGTCCACGAGCTCCGGCTCCGCAAGCAGCGCGTCCTCCTTCAGCTCCAGGCTGCAGGCCTCCCCGCACAAGGACTTCTCGTCCGCGGGACAGAACTCGATCCTGCACCAGCACCAAACCACTGCCAGCCTGCCGCCCACGGAGGCCACCACTGCGTTCAAACCGTTCTACAAGGGGTGAGTCTACAAGTCTTGACTCACTCGGTCCGACTTTTCGCGATCTTCGAGTCTACCGGCTGTTTCAGAAGTTTCTTCGTTTTCATCCGAATTTTCAACTCTCTTAATTTAACCTATTAATGGGTTAAATAACCTGTTAATATAAATAATATATAATTTAACCTATTTTCACGGTCGGATCGATTAGAACTTTTTCTTAGAAAACAAGGAAATCTATATCTTTTTTTTGTGGCGCAAGAAGCTTAAACGTAAATTCGATCGGAAGACATTGATGCTGAACAGGCCACTGCTAGCCCTGCTGACCTACGGCATGGTGTTAACCGTTTGCGTACCACGAGCCACTTTTGCGCTCTTCAGATTTTCTGTCGAGAAAAGCCAGGGCATTTGGCCGAAACAGACGACTTACGGACTTGTCGAAACGTGCTCGGTCTTTCAGACGCATGTATACGTCGCGCGTCGCATCGCTGTCAGTAATCCAATTTGCATTTTGTTGTTACCTATTCTAAATTAATAGTATATATATTTTCATTCGTAACGTTTTATTTGATGTTTTACGGCTTTTTTCGACGCATAATCGAAGGAGCGCTGTTGCGCTCTTCGGCGCTTTTCGATCCTGCTTTTTCAGAACCATCTGGTACGCAAACGGTTAAGGCAGGGCCCGTTAGATAGCTTTACCGAAAAGTCCTCTATCGGGACCAAGATGAAACGCTCCCTTTCTTTTCCCTCACTCTTCCATTATTCACAATACCGTCAAAACATGTTTCTTGTCTCAAAGCATGAAACTTTCGACTTCATTCTCAACAAGGGATTCGTAATTTGAACTATTGGGTCAGCCCACAAGTAATGCGGTTTCTCCATTTTGACCAATATGGAAACGCTGCATTAATAATATATCAGAACCATCTGGTACGCAAACGGTTAAATGAGATCCTTGTTCTAGAGTACATATAGTGCGCGTGCACAAGTTGTAATTTCTCTGTTACACAATCTACAACAGGGGTGTCAAACTCAAAAGCTAACTTGGGCCAAATAAACAATGCTTAACTTTAGGTGGGCCGCAAAAAAAAGTCAATGTTCATAGAAACAAATATTTTTATTTTGACTAGTACATTGTAATAAACACATATATAAAGTTAAATTATTGTTTACGTCCTGATACTTGACATCAAAAATGTTCATCTCGGGCCGCGAGTTTGACACCCCTGGTCTAGAAGAATGTCTGAATAAAACGTAATATGAGAAATTCTGAAAAATTCTGTTGATATATATCAGGTTTTGAAAGGATTGACTTTTTACAAAATTTTTTATGAGTTTATATGTCTACCATTGTCAAACTTATGTTCGAATCGAAGAGAAATGAATGTTTAGAATGTAAAAGTAGAGCCAGAAACCATATGTCCGATTAAAGATTATGTGTCTACAACCAACTACGTTCCTTCCGAATGTTCATTGTTTAGAAAAATTGCCTATTTCTTGCACCTTGATTAACTTCGCGTGAATTAAGGAGAAACGATGAATCGCTTAAGATACAAACAACGAAATCGTCACGTTGACCCACTGGAAGGAACTAACACTCGAATCCCAACGGTTCCAGATCGCAGTCGATGGGCAGTGGTTTCGTCTCGCCGGTGTAAGGCCTGCAGGATCAACGTCGGATCACCGTCGCGTCCCCCGAGGTGAGTCTAACACTCGTTCATCCAATCGACCACGTCATCGAATCGAAATGCCATTTGTCGCTCCGAAAACCTGATCCCGTAGCGACTACGATCCACGAATAAATTTCAAACCGCGTGCTAAAGCTAGAAACCTGCTAAAACTTTATCTAGACAAGCATCCATAATGAATCGTTCACGATAAAACCTACTGAACGCTATTAAACACCGAACCTACCGAGCAATAATAGTAACTGGTGTGCGATGGAATTTAATTAGAATTTGCAAAGTTTTTATTTTATTTTATTATTTTTAAAACAGTCCGGAGTTTGCAGAATTGTAAATTAAAAAATTGATCGTTTCGACTGTGATAGGTTCAGCGTTTAAAACCGTGATCGAGTTAATCTTCGCGTGACAAATCGAAACTAGGCGACGGTTCTATGGGGTACGGAGAGAAATCGCGAAGCAACGGTGACGAATTATTGGCCGAGGAAAATGATGTTGCGTCGCGATGTACGCGAACAGCGTTCGCGGTTCGTTAAAATGGCGGGTCCGTTGCGGATCGACATGGCGAGCTGGTCGATCAGTGGCCCGGCACGGGAAAATCGATAAGAAATTAATATCCGGCGCGTCGATTGGTCGTTAAGCATGGACTCGCGTTCAAATAATAATGGCATCGAGCATCGAGCAGCGTGTGGGCAGTCTGCGGACGGGAGAGCGACGGAGAACGAACCGCGGAGGGAGAACGAGAGAACGAACGGTAGAGAAGAGAGGCTATCGCCACCTTCTTGACAGTGACAAATGGACGAAGATTTCAATCAGTGAATGGAATCACCGCTGGCTGACCGCGTCTTTCTCTTACACACGGGCCCGCTGCTGCGTTCTGGCCCCGCGTACGTGTACGCTTCTGCGCCACGGAACAACCTTCTCTTTCTCTCTCTTTCTCCCGTTCTCTCTTTCTCTCTCTCTCTCTCTCTCTTTCTCTTGAACACACCTGAACCTGTCGCGCGTTCCTGACTGAACGCCGGTCCACTTGCGTACGATCACAAATGGGACACGCTCTCGAGGCACGAATTAACGCCGGAATAACGCAGCAGACTTCGTGACCACGGCCGCTCATTTTATCCGTTTATGACAACAGCAACGTTCCTTCGGGATCTCATTGTTGAAGTTATTCAGAAAAGGAACGACTTTCCGAGCAACTCTCTTGCAGACGATGCAGGCATTTTCTATTTTGCACGGAGACAAAATTATTCGTAGCTTTCTGACGACGAACGAGATTCCAGAGCGTCGTCGGTAGACTGCGGATCCTTGTGCAAAGTATAAATTGCCTGCATCGACTGCAGAACATAGGAGTCAAGCAAACATTTTGTTCGTTCGTCGATAATTTTTTAAGGAGTTTAAATTAATACATCAGGATTTTTAGTTTCTTGTAATATTTGTACTGTATTAACACGTTGAATGCCACGGGGGTCATTGAATGACCGGCACTTAACTTGGCGGTGACGCCAGGGGGACCACCGGTGACCGGCGCGCCCAAAGTGATAGAAATATATATAATTTAAAAGAAATGTCAATATCTAAAATTTTGTATTATTACCATCGTCGATTCGAACAGTGACCCCTATCGCAATTAACACGTCAAACATGGTTATACACTGTAACTTATCTATTGCAGATAATATTTCAACATTATATGTATCGCATAAAAGAAAATTCATCGTGGCGCCACGGACAATTTCTGTAAAACCGGCGTGGCATTCAACGTGTTAAATTATACCTATTCATTTCTGCCATAAATGCATAAAATCCGTAGTCTAGTGATCAGTCGTTATCGGTTCGATGATAAATGTTCCTTATGAAAATGTATATTGAAAATAGTCTCGTACGGTGAGCTTCTAGTCCATATTCTTCAAGTACCTTTGTCCTTTTCTTGATTCTGTGGAGAACACTACCTTTTGGGGGCGTTATCCTCTGACCATGTTTAGAAATCAATTTTTCTTTGCGTACATTAGAGTGCACTAACAACGTGTTGGTGTTTCAACGTTGGTGTTTCAGTAGCAATCCTCCATGAAATCTTTGGTAACCAATCGAAGAAATGTTTCCTTATTTTCACTTTCAATCAAGTTAATACGACCACGAAAATTTGATCCACGGCTTCTTCTAATTTAATAAGGTTTTTAGTTTTCGAGGCATAATATTTCAGAGTCGGAGAATGCATGGTGCTAAATTCCGAGGTAGCGTACGGATGCGGAATATAAACCGGACGCTGAAAAATTGAGACGAATTCTTGCTTTCCGGTTTCATTGGAGATTCGACGCACGCAGGTGCATCTGACAGAGGAAAATCGCGTTACACCTATTTCCGCGGGCGATATCGATTCCGAACGTGCCCGCTAATACGACGGGACTCGACGGATAAAAAGAGAACCGGGCGAGCAGAGGAGATGGAAAAGTGGTTATCCGTAGCAGTCGAGCGATCGTTAAATCGGCTTCAGAACGCCGGGACTTCATTCCATTCACGGCCACGGTGACAGAAAAGGGGGGAATCTTGAAACGGTTGTTCCCTCGTTTCCTTACAAACGATTCGCCAGATTCATCTCCCGGGACTTTTCTACTCCGATTCTTTTCTCTCTTCGTCTCTCTTTCTCTCTTGGCCTCTCTCTTTCTTTCTCCTTCTCTCTTTCTCTCTCTCTCTCTCTCTCTCTCTCTCTGCTTTTTTTCTTCGGTCGCTCCTTTCGTCGCGCACATCCAAGGCTATCTGATTCCGCAACGGTGTAAACAAGCCAGGACCAGTTTTTTTTTTCCCGAAAAGACACACGCCGTTATAGATCCGAATCTGCGGCCGACGAGATCACTCGATTACGTTTTCGCGATGACAATTCCCGACGTCTATGCGCATTAATAAATACGGCGTGTCGCGCACACCACCGAGTAGTTCATTCCAGGTATCTATCTAGTCGTTACACGAATAGCTCAGCAAAACTGACAATCGTGATCAATTAAGATCCTCGATTCCAGTCGTGTTCCGCCTGTCGTGTGAACTCCGCGGAGGACCTTGAACTTCGCCGAACCTCCGCCGACCAGAATATATTCCCCGTCGATTTCATTTACTCGCCTCGGGGGCCATTCCGCCTCGGACGCTCGGTTTTATGATCTTTTTCGGGCCGGCCAAAAAAGTCACAACCTCGACGATTCGTGTTTACTTTTGGCCGGCTCTCCACTGCTTAAAGCCATTAATAAAACTTTAATATGTTTACGACGGCCCGAGTTATGGAACAGTATACGCGACGTCACCTGTCGACACCCTTCTTTCAAATTGTCCGAAGCTCGGCTGTGTAATTGGCCGGTAAGATTGAATGGAGCGTCGCTTTATCGAAACGAAAATTTTCGAAGCGAGTTATGAAATATACGAAAGATCAATTTTTTTACTTCAACACAATTTTGACAAAATTAACGCTGGAATCTGTCTACTTTGATCGGTTAAAAAGATTCTATCATACGAAACGGACGAATAAATTCCTTCGTTGAAGCATAAATTATAATAAACACGGCGAACCGTCTGAATAAATCCTGCCTTATCGTTCTCACAATGAAGCGCAACTTAGTGATTCGTATCAACGAGTTTACAGTTTTGTATTTCGCTCAGTAATTTCTGTTACACAAGTTGATAGAATCCGCGGTTTACCGACAAGTAAACCGAAACATCTACTTCCCCGTGGCTTCTGTTGTCACGAATCTTATTCAATCGGAAAGTCGATGCACCGACAAACAATTAGTCCGTACGTAAATCAATTTGAGAACGCGTTCACACGACACCGCTGGGTCAGCCGGAAAGCGTATTCTCGCAAACGACAGCAACCGCCCGCAACAAAGGCCGAGTGGCAGCACCCCGGAGTCATCGAATGAAACATCAACTACCATTCGTTCATCGTCGCGTCAAGTCGTTTATATCGAAACGGTGCGCTCGAGAAGTCAGGGCTTAGGCTCTCGCCATCGTTCATATTCCACTCGGAGCCCAGGCTACGCTAATTAGCGTCACATCGGCCGTTTCATACGAACCATCCAACTGTCCCGACTTCTTTAGCCGAGATAGAGGCGAGAACCGGCGGACACAAGGCTCGGTCAGAGGTGCGACGACGAAGAGCAAGGCAAAAAGAGTAGGCGAGAAAGAAAGAGAGAGAGAGAGAGAGAGAGAGAGAGAGAGAGAGAGAGGGAGAAAGAGAGAAGTCAGCGTCGCGTCGCCTCGATCCGTAGGCTGGCAGCCAGCTGAAAGAAATCTCTCGAGAGAGGATCCAGCGGAGAGAGAGAAAGAGAGAGGCGTCCTTTCGAAGGGAACCGGGTGTTAGCCGGTACTCTTATCGCGTGGCGATCTGATCCTAATTTATAGCCGCGTCCCAAATAAACTAGTTTTCGCTGTCGTCACCTCGGCCTGCCCCCTCTCCGCGGCGGGTTGCTGGGACTTTTGGGGCCTCGTGGCCCCTGGACGCTTATAACGCTGCGGGCCTCGCGTCCCGTCCGAAGTCCCTCCAGGACGATCTCGATGGGCCTGTTAGGCCCCCTTCCGCCCCTAGCCCCTGGGCACAGGGAGCCAGGTATACGTATAAGCTCCAGATCGCGCGAGAGAGCGCCTCTTGTTGCACCTACCTGGCCGGACTTGCTCTTTTTTCGCCCTCCGTTCTCGCCACGAAGACGCGCAGTCGTCGGTCCGGACAGGGAGGACCGGAGCCGGTAGCTTCGGGATCAAGAGAGAAAGGAGGACATCCTCGACACCCGTGGCCTATAATTGCCAATTAGCGCGGGGATATTTAATTGCCATTAGGCTGGGTGGTGAACTACCGATCTGGGTCTGGCCTCCTCGGCCTGACCTCGACCAACGGCCCATCCGTCCGGGGCCCCTTCCGCTCTCGCGGTGCCCGCCGGGTCCCACGGCATCTGCATAAAATTCGCGACCACCAGGCACACCATGGCCTCTCCGCGCGGCCCGACAGGATAGCCGATCTTTTTAACGGCTTCGAGATTCCG